ACCCCTTGCCTATAATAGTACAGTTCTTTACTTATTCAGAGCATGTATCCTTCTTTACTCAGATCCTGTCCCTTTTGGCTCTGTACATCTCCTGGGAGTGCGGAATGATTCAGTGGTAACTTAGTCATTTGTGCACTGTACAAGATGATTTTACTGGAGAGGAAAAAAATAAAAGCCGCACTTATCAGTGGAACACTTTCTGTTAAATAAAGATAATTAAAGCATCAATGATACATCCATTTCATGTTTAATTAGCCCCTCTCTCATCATAATTTGCTACTGAAGGTGAAATGTGGGTCACTTTTAAAAACTAATCGTAAAATATTTAACATAATGCAAAATGAGAACAGAAAATTGAAAATACTTCTGTATGCTTTTCACTAAACAGTATGAAAGTTAAATGTGTGAAAGAAGTGACCAATGTAAATGTGTATACTCAATAGCAATATTCTATTTTTTTTTTGACATGGCAGTGCCACAATGACATTGTTATTTTTATTATTATTATACTGTAGTGTATTTGCTTAGCTTAAAGTTGCGAAAAGATTTATTCTTTAGAGGTGTTTGGGAATATAAAAAATAGCTTTTGAGATAAGCCTCTCTGTGTATGTGTGTGTCTGTACATAAACAAGAGGAAAGATGATGCCCTCCTGTATGGTTAAACTGATTGCTTCCTTAATGCATGAATTTGGAGTCCTGTTAGGGCTGCTGGGTATATGTGCATGTTTATGAAAATTGATCCATTTAGTTTATAGAAACAATTGACATACATGATAACCAACTAGTTAAAATACTTCTGCAATATTGCAGTAGACTGATTAATGTTTGAAATTTTATCAAATAAATTAACTGGCTACTGAACAAGGATTTTTTTTTCAGAATTAATTTCTATGTATTTCACTTTCAGGAAAGTAAGACTTTACAGCAAATGCATATAATTTTGTTTAGAGTGTCAGCACACTGGTTTGATAAACATTTTTCTTCATGAAGCAGCACATTTTCAATGAGAAAAGGCATTGGGATTTTTCATAAAGAATTACAGAGTTAGCTAAGAAGCCAATATACAAGTACAGAAATAATTTTGCACAGGAATCCATTTACTGTTTCTATAAGTTCCACTTATAGTGACCAATATCTCTTAAAAAAATAACAAGAAAAAAAAAACCCTCAGTATTATAACTGAAGTGTTTTAAAGAGCCAATGTTTTAAAGAGCCAATAATCATTTCTTAGTAAAGCAAGTAAAAAAGAAACCAAGATAAGATGATGGCCAAAACATATAAACATACAAAGAGTGTTTAAAAGGCCAGTTCTTCAAAGAGTGGTTGGTAATGTGTGGACTCATTATTGAAATTTTCACTGAAACAAAACTGCTTCTATGACACTATTTTGCACTGTGAGACAGAGAGGTGGAGAAGTATATGTTATAAAAAGATATCTGTAACTAAATGATCAAATAAACAAGTATTTACAATTAAAATTCATTATGAGATCTATGATTAAGTATGTAACTCTCCAAGCTGTTAAGTGATTCCCCTTAAGCACTGAGCTTTCATTATCTTTGGCTGGAAATCCCAATATCCAGGCTCCTCACAGGCAATGTGCTGCACCTGGAGGTTTCAAATTTTAAATCCGTGATCCAGAAAAACACTTACTTAAACTCATCCCCATTCAGTAAAACACTTCTGTACAGCTTTAACTTTTTGCAAGTGATTAAGACCTGTGGAATGCTAAGTGTTTTAAACATTTGTAGTACTTTACTGAAAAGGAGAGAATTGATAAGTGAGAAGCTAAAAGAATATTTCAAAGCAATACCATGCTAAGTAAGACAAGGATAAGAGTTAAACTTGCTAAAGATCTCCTAAAAATAGTGACTGTGAAGTGTCAGAAGTCTACTGAATACACAATTTTGCTTTAAACTGTATATAAAAGACATTAGAAGGAGAAGAGATACAAATTGCTTGCAGTTTTCTCCAGCTAAGTTCTCTTACACAGTCCCATATCAAACATGATGTATTTTGAAATGTATGTAAGAATTCATTTCATCACCTTAAAAATTAAGTATCAAATCATGGGAATGAAAACAACCTGTGTTCCCTGGGGTACACCAGTCGGTCATGTAAGTAGAGACTTTATCTCCTGACTGCTGTATTGTAGTTATAGAAAGTATCAGTTATCAATTCTAATTACACTAATGGGTAATTAGCATCACTCTCATCTCCAGTAACTTAGCGCAGGTATGTTCTGCTGTGTCCACTTATTTGTTCTAAAATTTTATACACTGTCTACTGTATCCTTAGAACAAAGGGAACTGACAATGAGTAAATAAAGGCAGTCTTAGAGATTTCAAGTAGTTTCCCTACCACAGTCATGCCATTATGCTACTGGCTCTGTTCCAGAAGTACAGCAGAACTATGAAACAAACTGATGCACACCCCATCAGAACACTTTATCTGCATCTGCTTCACATTTCTCTCTAAACAATTGTGCTGAACAAGAGCTCAACGTGGTTTGGGTGTTAAAAATCCTCAGGTGTTTTGCCTGCTAAAATGAGAAATACTTCACTGTCAATGTTTGAGATGTGAAAAGTGTACATATTGTTTATGCAAGTAAATCTTAATGTCCTCAGTACTATGTAAAATGAGCAAAAGTATACAAATGTCACTCAGCAACAAGCTGGCAAGTACACGTACAAAAGTAGAAACAGAGGGTTTGTGACTGATAGACTCTCCCATAAAGTCTGTTATTTAACACTACCTTTACTGTTTTCTTGGACAATTTCCAATTTATGTGCATGCTTTACAAGTGTGAAAATACTCTCTACATATTTAAAAATAAATAGATAAGACATTAGAATACTGGCTATAAACTACTTGAATAAGTGAACATTCATAGCAGGCTAAATATTTAACACACGAGAACTATCAACACTGAGAAACTGATTTGCAACAAACAAATTAAGTAATGGAACAATTCAAGGTGCACTACTTTGTAAAAGTGCAATAAAGCCATTTCCTTATACCAAGTTTTCTCATATATTTTATATCAAAAGAAATCCTTGGAATATATTAAGTAATTCAAAATATATTACTAACATAATAACTAATATTATTAACAGATTATAATCCATATGTTTAGATGAACTGCAGTATCAAGAAAGAAGTGATATCTGATTAGCATACATTCCACTGCTACTTTTATTCCAGTGTTTGCTAAAATGGCACAATCTACTCTGCGCTTAATAAGCCTTAGGAGATGAAAGATAAATAACTTAGTAATTTGTATTTTATACAGACTATTCTCAAACTGAAATTGTGATGTACACTCTAGGAAGGCATTAATGAATTGTGTCACACAGAAACTACTGTGTCAAACATTCTATAAGCCTGTATCACTTGCAAAGCCACATATACAAAAGCACTGATGCATATTACAATTACATTATTTTGGTGACCTGAAAGACTGGAGCGGGTGGCTTACACAATTAGTTTTATGCTGCTATATTTTAAGTATTTCCAAGCAGAATGCAAATACTGGCAACACATGTAAAACTTCAATTTTAGTAAGCTAGCAAACATTTCAAAGTATAAAAAAATATCATCGTGTACCATATTTGCACGTCAATAAGTGGAAAAGAAGGCATTTTTGTCAAAATAGTCAGAATTTCCCTGTTCCAGGCTTGAATGTGTAGTTACATGAATCAGCATTCATTTGCCTATGGCTTCCTGTGTAACGTGCATTGCAGTTGAGAAAATGGTCAGGATGTTATCTTATACGTACTATCACCGGAAAAGTACTCCCCCCAAAAAAGAGGGACCTCTGTTCAGGGTACATAAGCGTCTTAGAAATAAACTGAAGCTTTCATTTAGAAGCTTGATTCCCCTCTGTGCTATCCCTATCTTATTTCAAGGACTGTAAAGACTGTCCCTACCATCACCACTTTTAAGCTATCGGAGCTTCACCGAACCAAGCCCTGGCAACACAGTCGAGACCAGAGCCCGCCACTCGTGGCACCCCTGAAGGCACGTTTCTCTCCGAGAGGTCTCACGACTACAAACAGAGCTATGCAGCAGCTGGGCGAGCAAATTAGGGCCTCTCAGCGTGAATGAAATTTCATGAGATAGGCAAGAGGGGCATTAAAAAAAAAAAAAAAAAAAAAGAACATAACATACTGAGGTGCGATTCTAAACTAACGCTTATGCGTATTCAGAGCAACTGCTGCAATGAGTGCAAATCTCTGTGGTGTAAATTAGAGCATAGATAGGCTGTGCAGATTATTTAAGCCTTTTGGTCCTAATGAAAGGCCCGGTAATTACAGCCATTAACGCTTCAGCGCTGCGGCTGCAAATCCACTCTCACCCACAGCTTTAGGAAGCGTCAGGCAGGCAGCTACCCCCTTTCCCCGAAACAACTGGCTGCCCAGGCGAAACTTTCCTCCTCAGCCGGAGCTGACACATCCCTAAGGCTGGGAAAGCATCACGGTGGGGGAAGCGCCGGGACGGGCTGATGGAGGCGGGGCCGGGGAACGGGAGGGGGATGGCGGCTCCGCCTGGTGGGGTCCTGATCTCCCCTCGACCCCCCAAAACCGCCGGGTTTGGCCTCCGGGCGCGCGGCGGACAAAGGCATCTCAGGCTGCCTCACAGTTCCTGCCGGGACTGGAGACAGACCCCCGGCCTCCGCGGCCGGCTGCCTGGGGCAGCGCCGGCTGCACGGACGGGCTGGTCGGCTGCCGGATCTGATAAGCGGAGGCAATGATAAAAAATATAGTAATAGCAATAAAGATGTCTGACTGCCCTTCCTTCGTGCTGTGTGTTGGTCTGTGCACCTGACTGCCTGCCTGGAGCGAGGGGGGCGGGGGCACCAGACTGAACGGGTCACTGAACCTCGACGGGGAGTGTGCCTGTGCCAGTGCGGGAGGCGGGGGGACGGCCATGCCGGCTCCCTCACCCGCTCTGTGTGCGTGTGTCTGCGTGCTGGGGCCCGCGGGGCGCAGTGCTCTTACCTGCTTGCTGTACTTGCTGCTGGCCTGGCAGCTGTACTCGGAGCAATGGTCCGAGCCGATGGAGATGTTGTCACCAGCGCCCACGAAGGTGTTTGCTGGGGGCAGGTCCTGCACGGCCTGGTGCTTTTTGCCAGCAGTGGGGGACTGTGGGTGCAGCTGGACAGTGGGCAGCGGTGAGCTCGACTTGTAGTGCCTAGCCAGGTCAGGGCTGCCTGGGCCACCATTGACCGAGCGATATCGGCCCATGCCAGGGCTGTCCGAGAGCTTCTCGTTCACACTGTCGTAGCGCTGCCCATTGGGCTTGGAAGCCTCAACAGTAACAATGCTGCTGTAGAGGGGCTGCTTGCCCTTCTTGCCTTTCTTGTCCTTCTTGGGCTTCTTGGCCTTGTCGTGCTGCTGGGGGGTGAAGAAATCCTCATGGTCCTTCTTGCCGGCCTCGTAGCCATGCTTGCCCTTGGATCGGCAGTAGCGGGCCATGACCACCACGAGGATAAGAAGGATGACGGTCATGATGCCAGCCACCACACCAATGACTATGCTAAGCCGCTGCTTGCTCAGCTCGTAGCTGGGATCACCAGCAATGTCCTGGGCCAGTGGGGTGTGAAGGCTGCGGGCCACCTGGCTCTCCACCACAGTGGCATTGGACAGGCTCTCATTGACAAAGACATGGAGCAGGGCAGTGGTGGACTGGGGTGGCTGCCCACTGTCATTCACCTGCACAACCAGGCGGTGCAGGCCATAGTGCTTGGGGGCCAACTTGCCCACCAGTGACACCACACCACTGGCCGGGTCTATTTCAAAGAGTTTGAATGGGTTGCCCCCAACAATGCTGTAATTGAGGTCAGCGTTGAGACCGGTGTCAGCATCAGTGGCAACCACTGTGGCCACCACAGTGCGCATGTTGCTGGAGGGTGGCAGCACAGTGTAGGAGCTGTTGCTGGGGAAGGTGACAGTGGGTGCATTGTCGTTCTCATCCATCACAAAGAGAGACACGGTGGCTGTGGCAGACCGTGGTGGCTCACCCCCGTCCACTGCCTTCACCTTAAAGGTGTAGCTGGTCTGCTGCTCACGGTCAAAAGAGACAGTGGAGAAAATGGTTCCAGTGTCATTCTCGATGGAGAAGATGCCGGCTGCCTGTTCGTGGTCTCCAGGCTGAATGGAGAGGCTGAGCTCAGCATTGCGGCCCTTGTCAAAGTCCATCACAGTCACCATGCCCACGGGGCTGTTGGGCTGCAGGTTTTCCTTCACATAGAAGGTGAACACATCCTGCATGAAGCGCGGCTCATTGTCATTGCGGTCTGACACTCGCACCACCACTGTGGTAGAGCCCTGCAGTGATGGCACCCCCTTGTCCCGGGCCGTCACCTGAAATTCATAGGTGTCCCGTTGCTCACGGTCCAGCACTGCCTGCACTGACACATCCCCAGAGTCAGGGTCAATGCTGAAGATGCTGCCTGGTGCCTCTGAGGAGAGGGGTGAGGCCTCCAAGGAATAGGTGATCTCAGCATTCTTGCCACTGTCTGCATCTGTGGCAACCACTGTGGCCACCCTCTCACCAGGCAAGTTGTTCTCTGGAAAAGAGACCTCCAGCACAGCCTGGCTGAACATGGGAGGGTTATCATTAGTGTCCCCAACCCGCACCAGCAAGGAGTTGTTGCTGGACAAGCTGGGGCTGCCTGAGTCCACAGCCACAATCACCACGTTGTAGTCACGGACAGCTTCATAATCCAGAGGGGCCGAGGTGTGGAGGAAATACTTGCGCTTATTCTGTGGCTCCCCTTCACCCTCACTGGCTGGTTTGAGCTGGAAGGGCACATCGCCCACCACGGTGCAAGTCACCACACCATTTTCACCTTGGTCCCGGTCTGACACCTGCACCAAGGCAATGGGGGTATCCACCAGCACATCCTCGGCCACGCTTGCCACCCCGTCCCGGAGCGGGATGCGCCCGATTTTCCGGATGTCGATAGTGGGCACGTTGTCATTTTCATCCCGGATGTTCAGCACGACAGTGGCCTTGTCTGTCTTGGGGGGCTGGCCCCGGTCTCGGGCCATGACAGTGAAGCGAAGCTGGTTCACCTCTTCCCGGTCGATGCGGTGCAAGACGCTGAGCCAGCCCGAGTTCTCGTCCAGCCGCAGTAGGCGCCTGACGGACTCAGTGGCCGCCCCGAAGACGTACTCGATCTGTCCGTTCACTCCCACGTCCAGGTCGGTGGCTCGCAGCTGCAGGATCGGGGTCCCCGGGCTGCTGTTCTCCGCCAGGTCCGCCTCATAGACGCTCTTCTCGAAGCGGGGGCTGTTGTCGTTCACGTCGGTGATCAGCACCCTCAGGATGGCCTGCGAGGACCGTGCCGGGTCGCCGCCGTCCCGCACGCGGAGGCTGAGCTCGTAGGAGTCCCGCTGCTCCCGGTCCAGCGCCCCCTTGACGATCAGCTGCGGCTGCTTCTCCCCGTCCAGGGTGTCGGCCACCTGCAGCTCGAAGACGCTGCTGCGGGCCGCCGCCTCCGCCTCCTGCCGCCGCTTGCTGCCGCCGGGGAAGGGGGCGCTCTCCGGGGCCGCCGCGGCCGAGCCGCCCCCGCCGCCGCGCCGGCCGCCGTCCCCGCCGGGCTCCTGCAGCAGCTCGTAGCGCTCGATGCCGTTGCGGCCGAAGTCCCTGTCGGTGGCGGTGGGGAGCAGGTAGAGGGTCCCCACGGGCCGGTTCTCTTCCACGGTGAGCGTGAGGACGGGGGAAGGGAAGGTGGGGGTGTTGTCGTTGATGTCCAGGATGATGACCCGGCCCTCGAAGAGGTCCACCCAGCTCTGCGAGGGGCCGATGACCGACACCTCGAAGTCCAAGAAGCACTCGTTCTCGTCGAAGATCATCTGGCACTGCGGCAGCTTTTCGCGGTCGATGCGCCGCTCTGTGGTGCTCAGCTCCCCGGTCATGTTATCGATCTTGAGATAGTCGGAGCCCGACTCCAGGCTGAATGTCACCTCTCCGGAGCCTGTCACGATCCCCAAGTCGGAAGCCACGTTGCCGATGCGGATGTCGGCTGGTCCCTCCTCGGCCAGCCGGTACTTTAGGAGCTGCTTAGCCGCTGCGAGGCTGACCCAGAGCGGCGGAGGCAGGAGGAGCAAGAAGCAGCAGCAGTAGCAATGCACAAAGCGAAGGAAGGTCCGCATCTTCCTCATCTTCCTCGTACCGAAACCCTCCGCCCTCCTCTCACTCCCGCCTGCCCCCCAATAAACTCCCCTGATAAGCCAACAGTGCAGCTGAGAGTCCAGGTGATCAATTATAAAATCCTCTATTTCTGGAAACTTATTGTCTCATGACTGGTGCAATTGGTGGTCAAAACCCTGCTGCTGGCTCCTCCGCTGCTCTCCCTGCCTTCCAGTTGCGATATACTTACAGTTCACGGGACAGTGGATTTTGCTTTTTAAAGATTCATCTCAGTAGATAGGATGGGATTTTCCTCCTCCTCCCCCTTCTCCTCCTCCTCCTCTCTGATTTTACTGTAATCACTTTGCAAGGTTTGCAATAAAAGCAGGAGCAGTACTGTACGATTCGAAGCCCCCCACGTTGTCGTCTTCTTCAACACTAGAGTTAACTACAATTCACACACTCTCTCTCTTTTCTCTCTCTCTCTCTCTCTCCCTCTCCCTCTAAGCCGTTTACGACCAAGGCAATAGGCAATAGCTTTATTCTTCCCCCTCTCTGCACACACAGGGAAAAAAATGTGATTTGCTTTATTCAAAGGGCTTGGGTCCGGGAAAACTCCAAATCCTCTTAACAATAGGCAGTTCTTAAAAAAAAAAAAAAAAAAAAAAAAAAAAAAAAAAAAAAAGTAAATAAAAAATCCCAATAATGTCGGTATCTGCACAGCTGACAGGAGAACCCCGAGTATTACAGTGCAGTCCACAGAATATCCCCTTTGGCTGGCAGAAAAGCACCCAAATCCATCTTCAGAGATCGCCTAAAATGTTCAGCTCTTTCTCCGGAGCGGATTTTTTTAACAACTCTGCGCAAGGTCATTAGTCACAAAGCAACGATACAGAAACTGCAGAAGCCGTTTGCCCAGAATTTGCAAGGCTGGAGATAAGAACATAGACACACAACAGTCCCAAGTTTGTTTTTGCATCCGCAGTTTGTGTGTGTGCCTTACCTGCATTTGCACTGCATGTGTTAAAGCAATCTGGATCTGCAGCACTGAGAGCGATTCACAAATGAGATTGCAGTCTCTCTCTCTCTCTTTCTCTCTCTCTCTCTCTCCTCTTCCTTCCCGTCCCAATGCAGGTAACCAGATCTGAACTTGATCCTTTCAGTTCAAAGGTTAGCAACAAAACTATGTGTCCAAAGGCGATTATTGGTCTCTCGTAATTATACCCGGAGCGGAACAAGATGTAACTGGATCCCCCATGTGAATTAACACAGATTCTGAATTACATCCATATAAAGCGGAATGGCAAAGGGGAGGGGAAAAGAGCCGCGACGCGATTAAAAAAAAAATACAGAGTTCTATTTGCAAATAAAATTGTATCAGTCAGTTGTTTCCTGTGATCTGCACCGCCACAGTGGGTGAAATCTGCAATTGTGTATTCCCTCCTGTGTCTTTCAGAGAAGTGTGGATCAGACGCTTTCACGGCAGAGCGGCTTGTGCTTTAAAATGTTGAATGGCAATTGAGAAGCTTCCCACTCGTAAGAGAAAAAAAAAAAAAAAAAAAAAGAGGAAAAAAAAAAAAAAAGGAGAAGAAGCGGTAAACCGGCAAGTTTGCCCAAAGTGGAGGGAGCTGCTGAAGCCTCTCTCGGTAGCTCTTCCCTGACGCTGCAGCAGCAGAGCCGCCTGCGCTACATACACACAGAAAGAGAGGGAGAGAGAGAAAGAGGGAGAGCAGAGAGAGAGAGAGAGAGAGAGAGAGCGAGAGAGAGAGGGAGGGCGGGAGGGAGGGAGGGAGGGAGGAGGAGGAGGGAGGACGAGTCAAGCGCTGCACTCCAGAAAGCTCAGTCTTACCCTCTGTCTCTGCTGCTAGTGCTGCAAGTGGGATAGCTGCTCATCACAAAACACCAGTTCAGTCCTCAAAACCGATCCTCATTTCACGCCCGAGTGTTGCTTCTGTTGCTTTCTCAAACCCGTGATCTGTAATGATTTTCTCCTACCCCTTCCCTCCCCACGTCCGCTATAGACTGTGAATCGAGCAACGATTTTTAAAGCAAATATTTGTTCGCCTTTCTTTTCTTCTGTTCTGCATTTTGCGGAATCAAGCTGGTAAGGAAACTCGTTTCGCAGACTCCCACCTTCCCCTGTTGTGTCGGTGCTTTTGTGAAATAGCTGCAGTCACTGTAACTGCATAAAACTCCAGGGAGAAAGGGGCACTGCCTTAGATCTCAGACTTTCGTCCTGTTTCCCAGTGCTGTTTCAGCCTCTCTGTCTTTGTGATTGTGTTCTTCCTATTACCATGTTTTGAATCTGTCTTTTCAGCATGTTTGTGGGTATCCTAGGAGAAAAAAAAAAAACAAACAAAAACACCACCAAGAAAAAAACCCTCGGAGAAGATGATCAGGAAGGGAGCGAGAGGGTTAGTAGAATAAACACATGTGAGAAGTAACAGATTTATTTCCGAACACAGACTTGCTGCTTCGATGATTGCTAAAATGTAGCGTCACCTACCTGGGTAAGTGGGAAATAAACTTTAATGGTAAAGCTCTCCGGCTCAACTTTGCTTATTCTGACGTCTCTAGTTCGCGTCTCCTTTTGACTTTGAGCCATTTAATCGCGTATGGCTTTTGTGTGCTCCCGCCCTACCCTTGCTGATGCCTGGCTCCTTACCTGTCCTCTCTGCTCGGAGCCCGGAGGGAAAAGAGTGAGACTCCGGGGGCAGGGGAGCGCGGGGCAGCCAGTGGGGAGAGAATGAGCGTGTGCGGGTGTGTACGTGCGCGTGTGTGCGGGTCTGTGTGTGCGGGTACATGTGTGCGGGTACATGTGTGTGCCTGCGCGCAGCCAGGGGAAGGCAGGAATCCAGCTGCTCTTTCTCCCTCTGTGAACACATGTGGCAAAGCAAGTCCTGTATGTGCGCGTTCTGTATGTGTTTGTGTGTGCATTCCTCGATATATAATGGCTCTTTTGAATAAAAACGCATGCAGAGCAATATACCGAAATGTCTCTTTCATCGCGACGATATATTTAAGCGAAAAGCGGCCGGATATGTTGAGGTGGTTCAAAGCAACGGTCACAGCGTGTCTTTGTCATTTGGGGCGGTGAGTGATTGTAGGAGGGAGGGAAGGTTGCCACCTCTTTCCTTGAGGAGTCCAGAGACACAGAGGGGCAGAGCCCCGCCGCATGGAGTCGGCGCTGAGAAGGGAGGGAATGCTCCCTTCTCCGGAGGGCTGCAGGGCTGCTCCTCCGGCGCCTCCTCCGGCCCTGGCACCGGCCCCGGCAGCTCTGCCTCGCCAGAACACGAAAACCCTCCCCCGCCGGCGCTGGAGACACTCGGCTTTCTATCTGCAGCATCAGCGAGAAAGCCCAGCTCGGCGCAGGCTCAGTGCTCACCGCCGCAGTCCCGGACGGAGGAGGGGGGTTCGGGAGCGCAGCATCTTCGCAGCGGGTTAAGTAGGATTAGTACCAAATCCCTATTATATTTGCCAAGCAACTTGAATTTGTCAAAATTCTCCCTCGCTGTTCTGGAGCTCCGTGAGGAGGAAATTTTGCTCACAATGTAAGATCCAGACATGTCAGTACGTAGGAATACCAGCATACTGCATTACACTGGCTCCCTGCACTGGAAATACAACTGCGAACCGCTGGTCCCGCTGGTCCCGTCCCTTTGTGTTTTTAAACGCGGCCAGGAAACTTAATGTATTCGCCAGGGAAGGGGCGGGATGAGCGCGTTTTTAACCTCCCCGCCATAAACTTTAATCGGATTCCAGGCTGTTGCACGGCATGGACGCTCGCCTTCTTGCCTGTGTCTCCTTCCCCGTTGTTTCTACTACGGTCTCCTTGCGAGTGCCTCTTTCAAGCGAATGAGTGATTTCTTTCTCTTGCCATGTGCAATTGCTCCCCCTTCCTTTCCTACCCTCGCTGGCCTCTCTTACACACACTATGCCTTTCACACGCGGTCTGCGCCCCCCAGTCCCCCCCTCCTTTCCTTCTTTTTTTGCAGTGTCTTCACATGCAATCTCCCTCTGAATGTGCAATGTCTTTCCTGCTCGGGAGTGCTGCGTCCTTCACAGTGGATTGGTTCCTCTTTCGGAGCAGAGGTAACGGCCCCCCCTTTCCTATCATTCTCCCTTCCTCCCTCCCCTCCTCCCCTCCTCTCCTCCTCCCCCAGGGCAGGCGGCCGGCGTGGGAAATGGGCCCGACGTGCGCTGCATGGTGGATGGCCGCGCTGTTCCCGGTCCACGTGCCCGGCAGCCGGGGGGAGGACGGGGCTGTGCTGGCCGTGTGTCCCCCCGCGCCTCCCGCTCCCCCCGCATCCCACTCGTTCGAGACGGGAGAGAGTAGAATTACCCCCGCACCCTCTCTCCGCCTCCCCAGCACCGCAAACTGCCGGTCCCGCGGCCCGCGCCCCCACAGCTTCCCGGGTGTCGGTAGGAACAAGCCCGGCTGTTCCAGGCGGGGGAGGTTTGAGGTTTGTCCCTCTCGGGCAAATCTGTTGCGCAGTGTAACTCCCCCCTCCCGGCCCCCCCCGCTCCGATGCACACAGACGCGCCCACACGCGCTCAGACAAGACACGGCATTTGTCCTCCTGATCTGGTGAGATCAAGTGGGAAGAGGGATCACAAATGTAATCGTCTGTAATAAATAAAATAGCCCGAGATGCTGGTGATATACAGAGGGGAAATAGGAGCTTGTGTCCTTAAAGGGAACATCTGATAAGGCCACCGAAGTGGCATCTTGCGTGTGGGAAGGAATCCGTCTTGCTGACAATCGCAGCCTGCTGTACGTGGGGAAACCCTAAAGCAGCCTGGGAGCTTCCCCGGCTCTGTGCATCCCCTAAGCTCCCGATGCTTTGCAGTGGGGCTTTGTTGTCGTTGTTGTAGTTGTTGATTGGAAAGACAGGGGTCATCGTTAAAATATGCAGATATAATTTATGACTGGTTTATCTTCATGTGTTGGCTGAGCGCAGCTTCTGCCGCCGGCAGCCGGACTCGCGTCCGCAGTTGGCACTTTCAGCCCACGACAATTTGGTGTTCACAGTTTAGGAATGTCAGTGGCTCTCACTGGAAAATTACTTCTGGGATCTGCAGTGGGAATCAGTCTCTGGTTAAAGAGAGACAGATTATTAACATATCCACACCACTCTGTACATTAACAAATACATACTGTATATTACTATTTTCACTCTCAAACGAAAAAGAAGCTTCAGGAGGGGAAAAAATCATATTGCCTTGAAAGTAACGTATTCATCATAATACGTGGAAAAGATTAAATACAGTAAACATGACAGAAAATTCGAAAGCAGGGTAAAAACAAGGACAGAACCCCCACATGAAGCAGTTAAAGCCATTTGACGGAAAGGCGAAACTAACTCAAGAACTCCACCAAGGGACAAGCCGCTGAAATGACACCACAGCAGCACGGAGCCCGCGGTGACCTTTCATCTCTCCAAAGTGTCTTGCTGATCTGGTGCAATTCTGTTGTGACCTCTTCACTCCCTTCCCTACTACAAGTGCCCTCTGGCCGCCTCGGAGCTCCCTGAGCTGCTCGCAGTGAATATACTGGGAGGCTGAGTTGCAGGGAGTGCTGACACTTGGCCAGTGTCTTTCACAGCTCTGCAAATATGCTTGCTGTGTAGTAACATGTAATAGGCAGCAGTGATTAAATTATTCATTGCAGCAACAGCCTTTCTGATGGACGTTAAAGCATAAGAGTTTAAATAAGCAAACCACAGATTTACTTTTAAGCAGATAAACCCCACATCTGTGCTTATTTAACTGAATGCTAGCTAAGCATGAAACCAGTTACTTTGTTTAAATCCTCTCTCTTTTACTCTCTTTGAGAATTTTGAGCTAGATTATGCACCGTAAAAGTTACTGACAGAGCAGAATTAATCTGCCTTGGATAACAGTGGTTAAATCTCGCATGATTATAATCATTCATTCTTAAACTCAAACTGAAGTCTGTTCAAAGTGAAAGGTTCTTGCATAGGCATGATTCCATCAGCACTTCTGAGTTCTCACATTTATGAAGAATGATGAAAATTAATATTTAGCCAAAGAGATAGTAATTCTGTTTCCTAAGATTTTTGCAGGGTGTATATATTCCTTACAAATCACAATTATTAACATTGAGTTTCTTTCTTTCTTTCTTTCTTTCTTTCTTTCTTTCTTTCTTTCTTTCTTTCTTTCTCTTCTTTCTTTCTCTCCCTCTCTCTCTCTTTTTCTCTCTTTCTCTCTTTCTTTCTTATTTGTCATGGAAGGCCATTTACAGACCAGTTTTTTTTTCCCAGATGTTGACAAAAAATCTAACCACTCATAATCATGCAGAAATGACAGACAGAATATGCTTAAAATCAGAAAGAAAAATTAGTGAAAAGTCTTAAAAAGCTCACGTGAATTTTTATGAGGGGAGGCATATTTTTGTTAAATTTGTTTCATATGCAACTGCTAACTTCCCTGGATTTGCATGGATATAAATGAGTGCTGCATCCAGCCCCACTATTTTAAGATTGCTTTTTAAATGAAACTATTGTTCATGTTCTCTAAATGCAAAGTAAACTACAGAAAAAAAATAAGGTGAGCTTTCTTGAATTCCTATAAAAATATAGGGAAATAATGAGTCATTAGTACATATTCTACATAAAGAGATACAATGAGATATTTAGGAGAGATAATTAAACTGGACTTTATTAAAATGAAATATATGAGAATGAGGTAGCACTGCCAAAGAAAGAAGAATATGTTCATTGTCACAGAAAATATTAAATGTGTACAGTTGATATGTATATAGGGTTATTAGGGGAGAGCATTACAGTTACTCTGGGAAATAATTTTTTTATATATAGTGTTTCCAAGGTGGCTATCAGTAATGAGCACACTGAAGGTCTCAAAGTGCTTTGTAAATTATCCCTAGGAGATAAAAAGAAGTGTAATGACCTGTTCAGTCACCTAGGCAAACACTAAAAAAAATTACTCTTTCCAGATTAGGTTCATTAGACCATAGTTTTGCATTTCTTTATGTTGTTTTAATATATTCTGGGTTCACATCAAGGTTTACCTTTAAATATGTGGCAATAATTTCTGCTTTATTTGGTGGATTGCTGGAAAGTCAAAGAACTCTTTCTGAAGCCTTTAAAACAGGTTTGTATTCCAGACAACTATACATACAACAAAAATCTTGTGTCATGAAATTTGATGGATAGCAGTAAAATATACTAAACTGTTATAGATATATTGAAATACAGATGTTTTTAAGCTTGTGCTCCCACTTCTGTCAGCTATCTATATACTAAACTGAGTACACAGACTTTGTAAAATCATTTCGCCTCAATGTACTCTTGAGTTCTATGCACTACATTTTTTTTTTTTTTTTTTTTTTTTTTTTTTTAGGATGCTACAAATCATTTTTCTGTGAATTAACGTTTTCTTCCATTTTTGAATGAAAATCATGAGAGCATAAAATCTTTTGTCTAATGTTCTTAGTGCATCCTGTGCAGTTTTATTTCATTTTTAATATAATTCAGAGATCATAGAAGATCTGGCATGTTTTCATGATTGTACTGTGTCAGCTGCCTG